TTGCCCCCAATTTTTGCAATGACTGAGAACCTTTGGGGGCCCAGTTTGGTAGAGCTTGGTCTGTCCTGTACATCCAGGCCTGACAGGGCAAGCAGAGATTCAGGTCAAGGTGGGCCTGGATAGTCATGTTTCTTTGTGTCTCACAGATGGAGGGGCTTTTTATTTTTTAGGGTCCTTATATCATGCTTTTGGGTAACTTCTGACATATTTATGGGCTTTTTGTTCCCTCTCTTTGATGTCTTTGTGACTCATTTTAGGTTTCTAGGTGGGGCAACCTTTGGGAAAGGCTATGGAGGCTTACTTGTAGGGCTGACACTACAATTTTTCTTCAGTGAAAATGTGGACCTCGGAAGGAATTGCCGACAGTCATCTCGGGTGGGTGTTAGATGATGCCATCTGACCAGGCTACAAGCAGAAGGCTCTGAGGAGGGCCTCTGTGGCCAAATGGCCAGCTGCCCCAGTTCAGTTGGCTAGAAGGAGATGAGTCGGGAGTCGGGAGTGAGCCTATAGGTGCTGGCAGCACCTGCGGCAGCTCATGAGGCTGCCAAGGCAGAATTCTCAGAAAGCATGGGCTTCTTTTTCCTTTTCTTCTTTGAGATTCAGGGGGCAGTTTGGTTTCATGTTTAACTCCCTAAAAGCCCTTTTTCCTGCAGTCAGGGACTGTGGGTTTTGACTAAGTGATTCCCATCTCTGACTTCCCGCGTGTGTTGTGTACTCTTGAATGATTGTGCAACAGATGAAAGGTGGCACGTGGCCGTGCCCCTCATGTGGACTTAGGCTCGACTCAGCTAAGGAGAGTGCCAGGCCTTCCTTACGCCATAGGTCGAACACCACAGAAGTGCAGGTGAGGGCCTGATCAGCCACTGTGACCAGTGCTTCCCGGTCTTGGTGCCCTGACAGAGCAGCCTGTCGATTACTCTGTCCTTTCCACTCACACATTCATCCAACAGGCACTCAGAGGTTAAACATCCAACCCCCTTCCCTCAAGGGCGGTCCTGACTAACAGTAGGTGATTAATCTCTTGTGCTTGAGCTGAGCAAGACTGACAGGCTAACCGGGGTGCCCTCAGGGGTCTTACTGGAATCAGGCAGGCAAACAGACAGATGGATAGATAGACAGACTGCATCCTCCTCCTTTTGGGGTCTCATGTGAGCTGCTCGAGCTGGAAGCCAGGAGTTCTGACCTCTGAGGGAACTTCAGAAAGTTGCCGGTTGAATTTGAGAAATTGTGAGGGCATGCCTTCCCATCACGACCTGGAGGGATCCTTGCTCTGTCCGCGGGGGAAATGACCAGTGACCAAAGAGGCCAGTCCTGGTTTTCCTGGCCACCACACCAGTAATCAGAAACACCAAAACCTAGGATGTGGAGGCAGATTTATTTATGTCCATGGGCACTGATTGGGATCATTCCCAAAATGTCAGGCCCTGATCTCTGCTGGTTTAGGGCTTATATGGGATAAGCAAGCAGGAAGTACAGAGGCAGAGTGGCTTGTCCATTAGGATTCGGTTCTTACAATATGCATCATTGTGACCAGCTGTGCATTACAGTGCCCAGGCATTTCAAAGAAACAAAAGTAACAGGAACTGTAACCAGAACTGTTACCTGGGCAACTAACAAACTGAACTATACTGGTTGGAGGGGGCATCCTCTGCTACGAAGATAGCTAGGGCAGTGATTCCCAGAGCAGATGGCAAAAAGGGATAACAGTGTTCCATGCTTAGTAAAATTAATGAGTGAAAAGGTGAGGAAAGGGTGCATATATAGGAATCCTGATAAATTTAGAACCAGCATCCTTAATTAAAAAGCCCATTTCTTACTTTATTCTCTTTAAAGTGCCTAGTTTTTAACCTTCCTTCCCTGAAGGCTTTAACTTATGGAAGATTCTGTTTCAGGCTACAAAACGTGGAATACCCTCCCTCCACCTCTTTCCTGCTCTCTCTCTCCTGTCTTACCCATCTCTGCTCACAGTAAGGAAGAGAAATGAGTAAATGTGTGTTCTGTGTTGCATTGCTTTGATGTAACCATGTGACTGGCTTTCCATACCACAGCTTGGATGTGCTTTTCCATAAAGGCTTTATGACACATACTGTATTAGTAGACTTACATTTAAGGTACATTATGGGTTAAGTCTGCCTTGCAGTGTGACCTGGGGACTTTTCATAAAATGAAGCACTTCACCTGAAGCTCTCACTAGGGCGTTCAGAGTTTGGCTGTCACTCTCTGTCTGATTTGTCCACAAATGCAAAATGGCACTTTCTCCAAAACAATGATCCTAATGAAATCTTTACACTAGAATGTACTCAGTCTTGGAGTGTGTAACTCAAGAAAAGGGACAAATGAGTCAGAGGTAACAATACTCAGGACCTAAACCTGCTAAGGATTTTGGGGGCTCCTGACAGACCACCATGGTGGGATGTACTTCTTCTATAACCTAAGACTGCTGGTATATTCCAGTACACCATGTACATGTATGTCCAGTGGCTGTTAGAATACTGTATGCTTTTGAATTGTGTGATCCCTGGTTACTGTAGGTCCCTAAATATTTTGTCTGTATTATGTCAACTACTATTTTTTAGTTTACTGAGAGTATATCCCAGGTTGCTGCATGTAATTCCACAGGATTGTAGTCAGGAACAAAAGGAGTGAAGTAAACACACTGTGATGTGAAGGAACTCTACAAATATTACATCAGTCTCTGTGCAACGTTAGAAGAATTGCAAGTTGCTTGCTGAGACAAGAAGCACTAACTCCTATTGATTTAATCACAAACACTTACTAAATCAGCCTCTGCTCTGCAGCTTATGTTTCTGTGCTACAGAATTAAAAAGAGATTTATGTGTCAGTAAATTTTTCTGCCTACCCAAGGTCTTTTTCACTTCTTGTTTAACTTTTTTTTAAGAAGCTGCCAAATATCTATTTTTCATGATTCTGGTATGTATTGTATTTTTGCATGTAGGTTTTAAATTTTTCAGAAAGTTACACGGACTGTCACAACAAGAATGCCATTCACAGGGGATACCTATGATGATGAGCTGGAAAGAAAACCACCCAGTGAAAGAAGAGCTACCAAAAGAATAGAAACAAAGTCTACCAAAGTCATTTCTTTTATTGTTTTCTTTTTCTTTTTCTTTTTCTTTTGGTACTGGGAATTGAACTCAAGACCTCACATTTGCCAGGCAGCATTTCTTTTATTGTTGATAGTGAAGAAAATACTTTATATCTGTGATCCAGATTATACTTCATCTGTGAGTGGTGAGTATTGTGTCCAGCAGTGGACAGTCAACTCATACAACATAACTCTCAGAAGTGTCATTGCTTCTTGAACCACATTTATACCTCAACCCCCTGAAAAATAGAAGTTGAGCAACAAAAAAAAATTATTCTTAATAAAAACTTTTTAGCAAGACAGCCAGGGATGTAGCTCAGTGGCACAGTGCCTGCCTGGCAAGTGCAAGGTCCTGAGTTCAATTCCCAGTACCAAAACAAACAAATAAGCAAAACAAAGACAATACAGTTAGATTCAAATTAACTACAGTGACCTTTGAGTTACCTTAACAGTTTGAAATGAAGACCATGTGTTAGATCAAAATGAAACTACTACTAAAAATTCAAAAGTCCTTGCAGTAAAAGAAGTCCGGTCACTTGAAATAAATGGAGGCCAGATATCTCAGCCACAACAGGATGCTCCATATGTCAGAAATACCCTCCACGCAGAAACAGAAATTAATTTCATCCCGCCTTGCATGGGACGGAAAGCTGGAACTGGATGCTTGAAATGATAAAAACGGTTGTTTACACAACAGTTGGTCAAATGAGACTCCCTATGGAGGGAGGGCGCAAACAGTTAGAAGGCCTGGTGAGTGACTGAATAAAATCCAAGTGAAAGGAAACTATCTGCATGAACAGATCTGCTTGGATCTGGGGAAATGTGTGATTTTCTATTGAAGATGTAACTCAACACACTGAGCAAACCTTAGGAATCTGGATGACCCCCGAAAAAATACTACAAACAAAAAAACTTTTGGAAAAAATTTGTGTCGGGCATAGAGAGTAGGCCTAACAGGACAGTGATGGATGGATTGCGGCTATATACAGCCCAGCTGCTACAGGCAGTGCACTAAGAGAATTCAGCAGGAAGAACACACAGAGGCAGCAGCCTCCGGGATAACAAAGGAAGTTTGTGGTTGTTGCTGGATTTATCAGAGTTAAAATTCCCTGAGATGATCTCCAGACTTTCTCTCTGTTCTGAATGTCCTCAGTGTTTGGGATACCCACGTCTGCAGGCAGTGCTGTGTCTGAGCTGCACTGCAGGGGGCCTTCAGCAACACGGAATCACATCCCACAACAAGAGGAAACTGACCATAGTACTCTTACAGAATTCCCCCGCTTGGTTAAAGGGCAGCAATTCACTCCTGCAGGTGGAAAGGGGACCTCAGGAATATGCAGACACCTTTCCTTTGTTGAATGGTAACCTCATTCTCCTTTCATCTCCAAGGCCCTTCAGCTCCCTAACAACCAGAGGAAATTGCATGTAAGACCCCCAGTTCCCAGTGTTGCGACGTATTCTTAGACTACTGTAAATTGGAATATGTATTTGTGCTCACTTCCACTCAGTCTACTTAGATAGGGTCACAGGTTTTCATATCTAGGGTTAATCAAAGTGTATTTTAAATATGACAATTTCTCAGAGGAAGTGGGAATATTTTGTATAAGGTTCTTCCAGCGTAAAAATGTAAACTTTGCCTCTTTTGTTTAAAATCTGTAAGTTTAAAGGCAATAACTTGCTTAGAGTTTATAAATATTCACCAGTTTAATTGAATATTCTGTTAAACTCTGACAGGAAAAAAGGTAGATGGAAACATTTTAGGTTGACTTGGAATCATCCTGTGAATCTTGTGAAGTCATAGGAACATAAATGTCTGACCTCCTTGGGACAGTTTCTACCGTGATTTCAGATCAACTAGATGTGGCTACGCTAAGGAGAATTCTTTTTTTTGCAGCTTGTCTTGGCTCTTTCCGAGCTGGATTATTTACTGCTGCCCGTCTGTCCACTAATGGTTACACCGACCTAAGGAGCTGTATCAAAGGTAAGCACTGCTACCATACGCTTAAACAGTGAAACAAGGTAGAAATCCTGCAAGTTAATATAAACTAATATAAGCTATATTAATATAAACCGATGTTTAAAAATCAGCAAATGAGTTCTTAAAGGATTGTACCCCAGCAAGGAAGTGTTTTCAGACTCCATATGAAAGAATGTCATTCATTTGTAAATGCTGCTCTTGTACCAAAAATGAAATTTTCACGAAGGTTTAGTTGAATAGTGTTCTTTGTAAACTCTAGGTCATTGACTTCAGAAACTGTATTTATAACTGATTTGCTCTGGCTGTTGTTGCATAATTGTATAATATGACCAAACATTGCAGTTGATTGATAGATCAAAGTACAGCCATGTTTATTCTTTTAACTTTTTGGAACCAACAGTATAAATGTGAAATACGTTATGTGAATCAAATCAGTTTGGGTGCTCTGAAGTGTACTAGGACTTAGTGGTAATTCTAATTTATTATTTTTCTCTAATTTGTCAATTCCTAACTGATGGTAAAAGAGAAAAAGGTGAAACTACAAGGTATAAATTGGGAAGCTTTTTCAGTTCATATTTTATATTATTATTATTATTATTATTATTATTATTATTTGTCTTTTTGAGACAAGGTCTCTCTAGGCAGTTCAGTCTGGGCTTGAGCTCACTTTGTAGCCCAGGCTGGTCTCGAATTCTCAACGATCCTGCTGCCTCAGCCTCCCGAGTGCTGGGATTACAGGCGTGTGCCACCATGCCCAGTTTCCATCATTTAACTAATATCTACTTTATTACTACTTTTTAAAAAACTTGATCTTATGAAGAAACTTTCTGAAAATGTATTGAATTAATTAGGCTTTAGCTTAGTTATTTACTGATGTAATGGCACAAATTTCTTCTGGCTAGTTTGAGGGGGAAAGAAACTCTGCAGTTCAACAGGAAAGCTTAAGAAGCACATGTAGAAATGCTCAGGAATGGAGGGACACAGCAGTGTCATCTGCGGCAGAGAGACCCTGGGTGGATGAAGAAACAAATGAGCAGATCGCTGAGGACCCTGCGCTGGGACAGTTTACGAAGAAAGTAAACAGGACACCTTATGCTTTTTGATAGATCTTTTCTTGGTAACATTCCTTATTCAGAAATCAACTGTTTCTTATTTTAATAGAGTCACTTATGCTATCTTCTTTATTTTTTTAACTGGAGATTGAATCCAGGACTTATGCACTGAATTAAGCCCTTTTTAGTTTTGTTTTAATTTGCAGCCCAGGGTCTCGCTGTGTAGTTCATGCTGGTGTTGAGCTCACTTAGTAGCCCAAGCTGGCCTTGAACTCTCAATGACCTCACTTAGTAGCCCAAGCTGGCCTTGAACTCTCAATGATCCTCCTGCCTCAGCCTCCTGAGTGCTGGCATTACAGGTGTGTGCCATCACGCCTGACTTTAAGAGTTTTTTTGAGACATTATTGCTAAGTTGCTCAACCTAGCCTCATCCTTTCAATCCATCTGGTTCAGCTTCCCAGAGTGCTAGGTTTAGGATTACAGGCAGTTACCACAGGGGCTTTTGCTTTCTATTGATTAGTGTTTTAGGGGCTATCTTCCACCTATTAATTTTTAACTGTGCATTTTATCTGTGAGTTTTTATTTTATATAGATTTTTTGGTGAATTTTGCTATTTTATTCAGTTTATCTGACAATCTCTGTCTTATGCGTTAGCCCTAGGCCATTTATAAATTTCCTGATTCCATCGGCTTTTGGTTGTTTCCTATCCCCCCTGCAATTCCATGGATTACATTTCTTTAAAATGGTTAATTCTATTTTATCTCTACCATTTGTTTATTAATTATGCTGCTTTTTTTGTTCTTTCACTTGGAATTTATAATATAAATCTGTAATTTAAAGAATTATACATTAAATTAAAATACTACATATACAGCATAAGAAACTTACAATAGATTTTGTGCTCTTTCTTCTTTAATGTTACACATTGCAAAAATCATAATACATTAGTCCATATATTAACAAATCAGAAAATGTTAGTTTATGTTTTCTCACCTAGGTATGATTTCTAGCACCCAATTTTTTGTATAGACCCCGATTTCCATCTGATTGCATTTTATGATGTGTGAAGAACTTCATTAATATTTCTTATAGCACATATCTGATGAAGATGGATTTTCTCAGATGTTTTTGTTCCTCCTAAACCTTTTATAGCCTTTACGTTGGGGATGTAGTTTCATTAAGTAAGGCTTCCCTGCCGACAATAATCTTCTTTTAATACACTGAAGATATTTCTCTCTTGTGCACTCATTTAAATAGATTCTGATGAGAAATCTACTATCATTTCTGAATTTACCCCTCATGATATGATGTATTTTTATTTACTTCTGTTATTTATTTTTCACTGGTTTTCATTCAAATTGAAACTTTTAGGCTTATTCTACTTGGATTTTGTTGAGGTGCTTTGTTCTGTATAGCTTCATAGTTTTCACAAAATTTGGAAAAAAATTTATCAAAATTATTGGAGTTTTTTCTTTTCCCAAGGTATTTCTCCTCACTGTAGAACTTTAGTAACACATATTTTAGATCATTTTATGGTATCCAACAAGTTACTGATACTCTATTTACTTTTTGGTTGTTTTTATTTGTATGTTCTTCATGATACATAATTTGGGTAGTTTAAAGTTTATTATTTTTGTGCCATGTATAGTTTACTTTTAATCCTATCTCACATATTTTTCATTTTATATATTGTATTTTTCATGCCTAAGTCTCATTTGGGTCATATATATATATATATGTATATTTTTCTTTTTTGTCTTTACCATGCTTGTATTTTCTACTTGAATATATGGAGTACATTTATAACAGCTACATTAATTTATTTTTTGCTTATTATATCATTTCTGGACATCTTTCCATCAGGGGATTTTTTCTGTTTCTGGGTCATAGTTTCCTTCCTGTTTGTGTGCTACTTATTTTTAATTGTATAATGGATAGAACAAACAATACTAATGAAGGTACCAGTAAGAAAAAGGATTTTGCACCTCTAATGTGGATGTAAGTGTAGTAACTGGGTCCGGATTTACCCTTCTGCCTTGACTATGACTTGATCAGCTATTTGGAGCAACAGACTGTAGACAGTGGATGGCAACTACTGCATTTCCTAAGATAAGGGAACAAAGCAGAATGTTCATTTGTTAGGTTCTGGATTCTGTGGTCTTTTTCCAAACAAGCAGTTGGGTCTGGTGCCCAGCTAGGTGACTTGGAGAAAGTTAAAAACAAATTTCTGGGGTTTGATTCTAAAGTATGTTAGGCTCGTCTGGAGCACCGTTAACTTAAAGCTTACTTATCTCTAAGTAAGAGGACCACACTCTTGCGAGCTTTCTATCTGATGTCTTCTGTGTCATGAGACATTTTCAGCGGCCAGTCCACAGCGCACCGTTCGTCGTCCAGTGTGAACTTTGGAAGTTGTCCTGTGCCAGTCGTTATTCAACCGTAAACCTTAGATCGCTGAAGTCAGCAACCTTCTCTCTCCTCTTCACACAATCCTCCGTCTTCTGACTAGCAAAATTCCAGTCTGACCTCATACTCCAGTGTTTGTCTTTGTAACCCGAGGAGGTCTCGGCCTCTGCCTGAGCTGTGTGCTGCTGCACCGACATGGTCTCTAGGCAGTGACATGGTTACACTGTCAGGCACACAATGTTTATTGCTTCCCTCTGGGAATCAGTGTTCTCTAATGTTTGAAAACAGATATTTTACGTATTTGTACCAGAGCTCCACTTATGTGAGCCAGGAGAATAAATCTGTTTCCATTTACTCCCTCATAGCCCAATTTGGAAGCATCAAGTGATTTTTTAAGTCAAGTTTGTTTCATCTATCTTACTCAAGGAATTGTTCAAGTTTCAGATAAGACATTTCTGCATTACGATTATAAAGTATTGTATATTTAAAATCTAAAAGTGATATCCTTTTATAAAATAATTATACTCATTTGTTAATAGATTCTCATTTAGTGAAAAAAGTATTTGAAGGAAGAAGTCAATTTTCTTCATTGGTTACTTGCTTCATGTAAAAAATTTTTATTAAAGGCCAAATTATAGTATTTTACCACAGCATGAAGTAAAAATTAATAGATGTCTGTTTCCTTCAGCTATTCCAGACCAGTGTAATCCTCTACCATGCAACAAAGATGGGTACATGAGCTGCGTAGATGGCCAAGCTGCATTCACGTGCATTTGTAAACCAGGCTGGCAAGGAAAAATGTGTGAAGTTGGTATGTATGATCCACCCCCTGACTCATCGGGATTGGCCACATGAAAAATTCTCTGAGGCTTACTTTATTTTAAAAATAACTGATTTTCTTTTTTTAGATATAAATGAATGCAAAGATCCCTTAAATGTGAATGGAGGTTGCAGCCAGATTTGTGATAACACTCCTGGAAGTTACCAGTGTTCCTGCAGGAGTGGTTTTGATTTGCTTTCCAATAAAAAAGACTGTAAAGGTAAGAGCAAGACATTAGAATAGGATAAAATAAATTACAATAAAATATATTTACTATGTGAGAACAAAATTCAGTTAGAGGATTTTCTCCAGGAATTCCCGGAACACTCTGCTCATCAGTGTTTATAATAACAGGCATTGTTATCCACTTTCAAGCCTTGTGATAGGTACAATGGGAAGTAATTCCTTTGGTTTGCGATACTGACAAAAAGTGTTTTCCTGTTTTCCTGTTATGTGTGTGGGAGGGGGTACTTGTGCACGTTTCCATAAACCATTTTGTTATAGATAAATGTAAAGGATTTCATTATAAAGAAAAGTTTGTTCAGTACTTTATAGTTTGCTATAACACTGTAACACTAACGTACAGTTAGATGCCTCTGAAGTGAACTTCATTTACTAACATTTTTCTCTAAACCATTATCCTTTTAGTGACCATATATCTTTCTTATCTGTCTATTTGAAGATCTAAGTTTGAGTATTTAGAATAATTGGATCATTTAAATACCGGTTATAGAAAATCATTATCATTATTGATACCATATGCATTACATAGATAGATAATGCCCATTCTGAGTTCCACATTTAAATCTTGAAGTCTGTCCTTCTAGAGAATTTATGACTTTTTAAAATTAAAATTGTTATATCTTTCTCCCTTGTAATAGACACATGTATATAATTATGAAAAATCCTCTTAAAATAGGAAGGTCCCTGGTGACCAGAACATATGTTCATATATTCTTCATTTACATAATCCTTTAACCATGATAATCAAATAATAAAGTACAGAAATTTTAGAAATACATGTTTAAAATTATTACAGTGGGACATTTGCCAAAATCTGGATATGCAAGGGATCAAATTGCCAGTAATTGTCAAAATATGAAAGAATAAAATTTTTCATCAAACATTAAATGTCAGTGTAAATTCATAAAATGAATTTATTATAAGCTAAGCTCATATGATGTGTGTGTTTCTCTGCAATATTTCTCAAGCCTGAAGCATAGAGATTTTATAATTTTTTTAAATTGAAAGTTGATTTTGATTAATTGGTCATGTTAAGTTATAAGAAGCAATATAGCGAGATCACAGATCCCCTTTACCTGGTTTCCCTCACTGGTAACATTTCATATATTTATTATATAATGTCATACTCAGACTGTTAACAGTCAAGGTACAGAAATAGTCTCTCATCGCAAGGGATTGATTCCATTAGTTCTGTGCAAATTAGTTTAAATAGAATAATATTTGAAATTGTGGCTATTCAGTTGTAGGGAAAAAACCCTGCCCATTTTTTAGTAGGAAATATATTTTCTATTCTGTTTTTTGTTTTTTTTTTTCTTTTTTACTATTTTCTTTTCAGTAGTAGGAATCGAACTCAGGGCCTCGCAATGGCCAGGCAGATGCTGCACTGCTGAGTTACTTCCCTGGCCCATATTTTCTATTCTGAATTTGTCTTTCTGTTAGTACAGGTGAGAAATGTTCATTAATAATTACATTTCTCTCAAACTATTTTGATCACTTGTTTTTTCGCTTATAAGTGCTTATCTAGTAGCTGATTGTAATCAGTACTTTGTCTCCTCCATTATGTAATATAATAAATGTGCTTCACATTTTTGAAGTGTTACTCTATCACTAAAATTTATATTGGATTAACTGCAGCTATATAAATACTTTTAGACCTTTCTTAATCTCATTCTAAGTATGAATTACTCTTCATTACTTTAGGCAACTCTAAGAGGGAACAGATTAGAGGCCTGGACTCAAGTGTTGATGGAGGGGCAGGTGTGAGAGCCTTTTCCAAAGAAACAGCCTTCTAATTTTTTTCATATAATAAGAAGAGAATATATTTTTACAATCACATCTCAGAATCATGTATTTGGAAGTACACTTGGAGAATATTGAGAATGTAGTTGAATCTCTTCTTCCACTTGTTTTCTTTTTTTTTTGTCTTTTTGAGACAAGGTCTCACTCTGCAGTTGAGGCTGGCCTTGAGCTTTTGTAGCCCAGGCTGGCCTTGAACTTGCAAAGATCCTCCTGCCTCAGCCTCCTGAGTGCTGGGGTTACAGGCGTGTGCCACCGTGCCCGGCTCCATTTGTTGTCACACTCTAACCTGGTAATTAAGAAAATCACTTGAGCCCTCTTTTTTATGAAGATAAAGGGACATAGTAAACATCAATCGAATGTATGTATTCGTCATCAAATCCTGTATATTCATATAGTGAAACACTATTTAGTGAACTAAAATATGTTAGATTTAATATTTTGTTGTTCCAAGGCTAGTCTAATATCTCATTATACACAATGAGCACAGTCCATGAAATAGAGATAATGTTCCTGATAGAATTTACTGGTATTGGAAAAATTGTAAAATTACATTGGTTTCATTTACAGATGTGGACGAATGTTCTAGGAAGCCAAATGTTTGTGGCAAAGCCGTGTGCAGAAACATGCCAGGAGACTATGTGTGTGAATGCCCTGAAGGCTACAGATACAATCCCCAGTCGCAGGCCTGTGCAGGTACAGCGGTGTGAGTGGAACTGCTGGTGCTGGAGAGGGCAGCTTTTGAACCCTTAGCTGTTGTTTAGCAGCATGGTTTTGTTTGACACCAACAGTTGTATTTCCTGATTTTTGCTGTAGCTTGGTCAATTCAGTGATCACTGGCACCTTTCACGGTAAAAGTATTTAACACCAATGGTCTTTAAATTTAGTGTCAGTGTACTCACCAGCCCTGTAAGTTACGTATAATTTGGAGAGCTCCATATGTAATTAAAGCAAGATAAACACATTTTCACATCACCGCAGTAACATTCAGTGACAAAGAAGGTTTCAGTCTGAAAACAAAAACACATAGATACAAAAGAAAGATGTGAGTGTAAATCACATGAGTTGTCATAAACACATGCTAACCAATCTTAGAAAGTTGAGAAATATTGGTCAGTGATCATCTGGGAGGTGCTGGTCTCACTGTGGGATGCATCAGTGTTGCCCTGCAGGCCTCTGGTAGCTCCAGTGTGTTAGAGGGTTTTTTTTTTTTTTTTTTTACTATGTAAGTTATTTGAGGCTTCCCTTTAAATGTTTTAGAAGTTCAAGATGAGTTTAATATGTTGTCCAAAATTAATCACATCGATACTTTTTCTAGTGTGTAAAAATATATACAACCCACAATGCACCCTCATAACTGATTTTAACCGTACAGGTCCGTAGCACTAATTACATTCAGTGTGGTGCAGCCATCACCTGTTCCCAGAACGTTTTTTATCACCCCAGCCATACACTCTGTAACCATTAAGCCATCAGTTCCCTTTTATTTGTTACTTTATTCTGTGCCCCAGTAACCTGTAATCTATTTTCATGTCTCTGTGCATTTGCCTAAATCAGTAATGATTTTAGAATGGACTCGCTCCAAGTATATATGCTCCAATTATATTTATAGATATATACTCACTCCAAGTATATTTTGATGTCTGACCTGCTTGTTTACTCCACCCAAGCCCCATAATACCATTTCTACTCTCCCACCACTCCTGATAGCAATTACTGTGGTAAGCTGTAGGGATTTGCAGATTTATCATAAGCCAACTTCACCACCTACATTGCCGTTTTATTCAATAAGTGAGAGATTTAAAAAAAATTATTTACATATACCTATATACATCTAAATTTAATCATGTATTCTATAATTTCAATGCATTTGAAGGATCACTAACTTTGGGGATTAATTTTAAAGACTTTAATGAGAATTTATATGAGATAATGAATTGGGGTTTTTCAAAGATCATAAGTATGGATCCAACGAAAATGTTAAAGGTTTTATATAGCCCTGAAATGGACTCCAGGTTAAGCATATTATACAAAATTTCCAAGTTTGATTTTCTCAAAATGTAGAGTCAGGATAAGAAGCCAATAGATTTCACAATATTGGAAGTATTGAGTATTGGAAGTATTGGAATATCGTATTGAGATTTAAAAGATAAGACGAGACTAAATATGTTCTTACACTTATTGCCACCATTAATCGTTACATTGAGAAGACATGTTTTTGCAGTTGTGATTTCAGCCCCCAATGCGTTAATTTTCAGTTAGTTAAAAGGTTTTTTCCCCACTTTCTTCCTATTCCTATTTTTCCTTCCCTTTTCCTTCATTCTCTGTTTTTTCCTATTTTCCTCTTCTTTTTCCATTTCCCATTTCTTCCCCCTTCCCCCTCCTCTTTTTCTTTATTGGGAAATAATCTCAAGGAAATTCTTAGAACCAAAAATGACATTTAAATTGAAATACTCCATCATTTATTTCTTCAAATTCAAAATAAAAAATTGAGTAGACTTTCCACGCTACCATTAATTACTGAAGTATTAATTTGTTTCAAGTGTATAGATATGTAAAGTGTACCTTTGTAACTCATTTGGAATTTCTGTGACTTGATGTCATGTAATTATCTTCCCTATGGATGTATTTTCATTTCCTTGTTAATCAATAGAATACTCTTCCTGGGGCTGGCTTGAATATCTAGGGGATAAACAAGCTTTGTGTTCTGTATTACCCCAGATATAGACGAATGCTCGGAAAACATGTGCGCTCAGCTTTGTGTTAACTACCCTGGAGGCTATTCTTGTTACTGTGACGGGAAGAAAGGGTTCAAACTTGCCCATGACCGGCAGAGCTGTGAGGTAAACATTTTACAGTGCTCAACTTCTCACCTCTTTTCTAAAATGGCAGATCTGTGCACTTATTTCTACATAACTGATATAAATAAAAAATACAGATGTTTTATCTTAATTGCTATAGCACTAAGCAGACTATATGTATTTACTTAGTACAATCATATAAATGATAAAAACTGGGAATCAGTGGCTGTGTTAAAAAAAGGCTTACAGGCTAACAGAAAGTATTTATCGATAACATGTACATTTAGAGAATGCAGTGTGTATGTGTAGTTAAGAAACCAAGAAAAGCAGAGGTTAATTTTCTTTGTGAAAAAAAAAAATCTTACATGTAAAGTTTAGTGAAAGCATTTCCTAGTGTCTAGGCATAGACAACTTTGCCATTTGTTCAGCGACAACTGTCTTGGTAACATATGAGGAGGTACAGGTACACAGTGTCAAAACATTACTTAGGAATTTTAAAGAATACCCTGACACATAATTATATAATTTCACCTTAACATGTTAAAAAAAAAGGCTCACAAACTTTAGATTGTTATTTAAAAAAAAAAGGTTTCAGATGTTTAACTGTTTATTTCAGTGACGGAAAAGCTACAACCTACCTGCAAAGTTCAATTGAATTCCTGTGTAAATCGTGCATTAAATCTGAATACTAAAAACAAGTCTGAGAGACACAGATTAATAAAATTGGTCTCTGAATTTTGATATGTGTAGTAGCCACTAAATCCTGTTGTTCACACCTAAAACTTTATAAGTACTCTTACACGTATGAACATGCCGTGGGCGTGTCAGACTTGTCAGAGTGGAACACAGGAAAGCAGACACTGGGAAAGATAAGTTAAAGCAGTTGGTATATTTAGTAGCTTTGGTTATTTCAAATGTCATCCTGTGTGAGTATCTTCTTTTGTAGTGTGGTTCCTCATTATTTCAGTATTTGCTGTAGTTACATAGCAGCATCTGCCTTGGAATAGATTTATTAAAATTCCAATAGAAAGTGAAATTTTATTTGAGGCTGTGTTTAATATACAGCTATGTACACAAGTACTCCCACAATATCCTTAGATGTGCCCAAGAAGTTATTCCTAAAAACTGTTCAATTTAATATTTGTTTTCAGTCTTAGAAAACAAGTATTTGATAAGAGGTGTGATGACTTTAAATCACTGTCTTTTAGACTCCTTTGAGACTAAGATGATATCTAAACTTCTGTTTATTCTTTTCAGATTTTTCAGTATTCTCTTCCAATCTAGCTAGCACATTCATGCTCAGAAAAACTTTTTGTTTTAAATGAGTATCACAAGGTACTATTTATTGGTACATTAATTCTTATATCTATTTCCAACTCCAGATAAAAATAATTTTCAGATATAATTCATGGAAGGCATCATGTCTGACACTATAAGAGATACATACTGATTCATGAAGAAGGAATTGTTTAACATTGACATTTGCTGGGGAAATATTAAAGCCAAAGTTCAAAAGCCATACACGTTGAATAAGACTTTAAAACATGTATTCTTGGAGGTCATATTCCTTGACTTTACAAGGAAGTGAAAGATATTGCCTTCTTCTTACGAGAAGTATTCTTAATTTATTTCAGTGTATTAAAGAGGACACATTTAGAACCAGAGAGAGATATACACCCTGACCCAAGCAGCCATAACATAGGCTCTTTTTTCTTTTTTTTCAGGTTATTCCCGTGTGTCTTCCTTTGAACCTGGACAAAAATTATGAATTACTTTACTTGGCAGAGCAGTTTGCAGGGGTTGTTTTATATTTAAAATTTAATTTGCCAGAAACTAACAGGTGAGAAATGAATAACAGTGATAATCTCTAGAAGTCAGGCAGACAAGGGCAAAACTAAAATGACTGAAAAGGTCAGAATGTAGGGAATTATGTTATCAATTAGATAATTTAGATATTGTCGATCCTATGACTTTGGGAACCTCAAAAAACAATTTGCTCCTTCATATAGTTAATTTTCACACCAGAACATTTCTGGATCATTCTCGGTCATTCTCCAGTGATTATTTTACTTTACCCCATCATTCTTCATTTTTAGTAATAATATATTTATTAAGGAGTTAGGCACGTATAGTTATTGTACTTGTGACATTTTCATTGTTCTTTACACATGTTATGAAAAATAAGTAATGAGAAAATACTCAAAGTATTGGTTTCAGAGTGTCAACATATTCAGAATTATTAAGAGAATTCCTAAGATTGCTTAACTGGTATTTTAAAGAAATGATCACATAATTTTAGTTTACTATCTGAATACTTTGTCAAATATTCCTGCAGCTGGATTAACATTAAGAAAGGAGCAGTGTTTTGAGTTGTGATTGCATATATTGTCAAATTTTCTGACAGTCGTACATTGTTGAGACTTGAAGAAAGGAATTGGAATTTGGAATTTTATTGGGATAACGGGAAGGAAATGCCTGTGAAGCTGGTTATGGAGTCTAAAACTTTTTTTTTTTCCAGTACTGGGAATCGAACTCATGACCTTGCGCTTGCCAGGCAGGCGCTGTGCCGCTGAGCTAAATCCCCAGCCCCTGGAGTCTAAAACTTGATATCCTAATTAATTAAACATGAATGTTTGGAATTTGTTAGATCCATGAACCATTATTCATTAAAGAATACAACTAACTTAATGCAAGTCTTTTTAAAAAAAAATAGAAGTTATGCTAAGATTCTCCTGTATTTGCTCTTCCAACTCTCCATTCCCTCTATCTGCTTTTCTCCACGAAGCCTCATAGCATACAGTATCTTCTAGGAGGCTGATTACATGCAGTCCTTCCTTGCTGTGAGAATAATGAAATAAGAGAAAAAGTATTAATATAGTGTGTCTTTAATCACTTTTAGGAGTATTTATTTCTCAAAGGCAATTTACAATACATAGTTTGATCCTTAAGATTGTATCAGAATTAGCCACATAATTATTTATATAATATTTGTTGGCTTATTTTTTCATATAGTTTACACGTTTTGAAAGTACAATATATGCATTTAGCAATGTACATGTATGTATATTGAACATATACTTTGATGAATTTAATAAATTGCCATTTGTATAACAACACAAAAATAGCTAGTATTTACTTCAGCAAATTCTTTCAGCTCTGTTTCCCATAGTAAAATATTTTACTTACCTAAATGTTAACAAATTCATGCTTTTTTCCATTCTGTAATACTTCTGAAATAGAGTGATGAATTATTATGCTGTTGATATATTCCAGAAACAAAATATGCAGAACACAACTCTTTGAAATACCATTTTAGCATGATTTACAAAGAAAAGGAAATTTTCTCCATAATAGGATCAACTTCTTCAAGAACTTGACATACACAGATACGGATTTTGGCAGGATAATCCATGCTTCACATTAGCAGAATGCTCAGATAATGATGGAAAGGGACGGAAGTCCCCACTCTAGGCAAAATGATTCTTTTAAAATATGAACTGAAGTCTGGAATTTCTTGCTACATTGATACCCAGCCAACAGACTTTATTCCACATTGTACTGCTTTCACGTATTTACTTGGAATCCTAAAGGTGAAAGTTTATTCTGCCACATTTTTTATTCCCTTTGAGCCAGATCTGTGCTCCCACAGCAAATGATGCCCCATTGTCATTACTGTTACATATCAGGACAACAATGTGAAATTCCTTCTTAGAATTATAAAAAGCTTTTACTTTTTAAATTAAATTACTTTAACTTAGATGACTGAACATTATGCAACTATTTTTCTTTTCCCCTGGTTGTCTTTTTAAAATCATTTCAATTAGCTGGTCTCTTGGAGATTGTTTTGTTGTTGCTGGGTTTTTTTTCCGGCACCAGGAATCAAACTCAGGACTGTGCCCTTGCCAGAGGGACACCGCACTGCTGAGCTATCTCCCTGCACCGCCCCCCCTTGGAGACTTGAACGTTAATTCCCACCAAAGTGCTCTAAGAGCATTCAGTCAACACATTTTAAATCCAGTGTCACCTAAGATTTTCTCTTCCCTGTCATTGCTATACTGTATGTATTCCTACAGTCGTCTTAATATCAGGCATTGTCGGAACTCAGATACCCCTGCCCCAACACATGACTACACAATGTCTGTGAAGCTTTCCTTCCATGTATTCTACTGCAGGATTTATGCAATTAGTTATGGGTACATTTTACAGTGGTTTTTGTTCTCCTTTGTTTTCTTTTTCTGTAGAGGTTTCGTTATTCACTGAGGGGAGTAGGGCGCGGGCCATCGGGGCACCCCTTTTCTCCTGGTGTCCAGGGCAGCGGGCGGTGGTGTTGCACAGCCGCTGTGCCTTCGTGGGGCAGGAGAGCGCGTTCTCACCCTTTTCTCATGACACACCTCTCGGGGCGGTCCCCGCAGGGACGGTGAGGCCTCTCCAGCCGTGCCTCGGCTCGCTCACGTCCTTGGCATCCGTGGTTCTCGCTGAGGCCCGTGGCCAGGGCTGCTGCTCTTCAACAGCTGTTGCCTGAGGTTTTTATTTTACCATCCTCAGCACACACGAAGGCTTAATTATGTGTGCAGCCGTCCAGATGCTGTCCTGGGGAGCTTTCCCAGTGATCCTTCCTGACATATGTGAAGTCACAGGGAAAATATGCCTTTGATAGATAAATCAATCATGAAATTGTAACATGTTTTACTAATCACTTATCGATACAGCACCCCCCCACACACACATTTTAATGTCAGGTTTTGTAATATATGAAAGGTTCCAGGAGAGATGTCTGGCTAGTATTTACGTGTCTTAATTCCAACATTTGAGAGGTGACTTCAAAATGTATGCCAAAAAAGATGAAAAATTACCAGAGCATCTGTTCACTAAAAAAAGATTTCAAGAATAAACAAAAACATAACTGGATTTTAAACACGTGGGGACCCAAAGTTAATAATGAACAATTTAGTTCAATCTTTTTTTTTTTATTAATTCCAAGCGCAAAATGAACTTGGCTCTTGAGCATTTTACTGTTTTCTAAGAGATGAAAGGGGAGCGTGTGGAGTTTTCCGTGTCCTTAACGTTAAGGCCGTCTCCGTCCCTTGTCCAGGTTCTCAGCCACGTTCGACTTCCGCACGTACGACTCGGAAGGCGTCATCCTGTGCGCAGAGTCCCTGGACCACTCTGCGTGGCTGCTGATCGCGCTGCGGGACGGGAAGCTCGAAATTCAGCTGAAGAATGAGTTCACAGCGCAGATCACAAGTGGCGGCGCTGTTATTAATAACGGCGTATGGAATATGGTACGTTTGAAAGATTTCACAGGGCTTTTCCCGCATTAATATAGTTTATGTGAAATTGAATTTTATTTTTATAATGATAGAAAACAAAAAGGTTGGGTTAGCTGATGTTCTGTAGTCTATTTTCCACACTGTAAATCCCTGAAACAGCCTGAGAAATGATACTCTCATTTAATATATTTTGGATTTTTTGTACCTAACGTTGTTTTCAGTTGTTTGTGGCTCTCGGTGGGCAGGCAAGGAATGGTGTGTGTCCTATAGGTTGGGGATCTCTAGCGGGCACAATGGTTTATTCAAAAGATACCTCTGATCAAGGGAAGCTGCCCTCACTTGCCATGGCTATTTTAAAAAAATACTATGAATACACATAGTAACAAAGTCAAAAGTTAATTTGAGTTTAAATATAAGCATATCGATACGCAATCAATTTTGTACAAACAGCATACATCAGTGGGTACCAGAATGTTTAGAACTAACATTTTAATATGCCCTAACAATAGCATTTATTTAAAAAATTGAAATCATCTTTTTAAAAATCACCTGGAATCAAATGGGGCATTACAGTGGCCTGACAACTAGTGGTCAACTTGTAAATCCCAGCTGAACTGAGTAAGTGTGGTGCTGGGTGTGGAAGGCCCACCTGGGGATTGTTGACAGCAGCGTAAGAGGCAGAACTGGAGAAGTGAAGCTGCTGGGAGCAGAGAAAAGGCTGTTGGGAGCTGGTAGAAGCAGCAAGGAGCTGTTGGTTCTGGAGGAGCTTGTCATTCTGACTTTCCTGATGAACTTGGCTGTTTTCATCCTCCGAGGAGCTCGGGACTTCATTGGCACTGAGAATGGCTTTGGTTCACTTTGGGGGAGCTCTGGTCCTCACTTTGAGCATCGATTCCTGGCTCCGGCGGAGAAGATAGTGCACTGCCAGTCTCCTGGGAAGCTTGCTGTGTTGGCTTTCCTGATGGGAACTCAGCTGTCTTCACCATTAGAGGAGCTCGAGACCTCTCTGTTGCTGAGGATGGCTGTGGTACCTTTCGGGGGAGCTCTGGTTCTTATTTGGTATGTTGCTTCCTGGCTCCAGTGCAGATCCCTCAGCCTGCTAGCACAGATCCTTCATCCCGCTGGCACAGACTTCCTAGATTCCACCACTGACCTTTGGGCCTTTCCAGCAAGATCTATGAAACAGGCCTGCATGAGATATTGTTATGGGCTCTGGGCCTCCAGTTGGATCATAGGAGACATTGTTGTTATAGGCTCTAGGTCTTCAGCTGGACTCATGCATGACATTTCTGTGAAATCCAGGCCCTCGGTTAGATTCCTTGGTCTTAAGTGTGTGGACAGATTTCCTGCACTCTTTTGTAATATCATTCTTTGGGTGACTATTATAAATAATCTTATAAAATGTGTGTCCTGTATTATATTGTTCCCTTGAAAAATACCCCCAAACCAACGCAGGCATTTCTGTAGAAGAGATTACTGCTCGTTGATAACAGAAGGTCTTTCCTACAGTAGTTGTTGCTATTTGCAGCAAAGTATAGGTGAGAAAAGAAAGATTTCTCTTTGAAATGCAGCGCCCGCGAGAACTGCTCTCTACACCTGCAGGCGCAGGCAAGGGGCTGTGTTGAGAAGCACTCGAATTCATTGCTCAGTTACTTCCTTCATTTACCCACTCGAGCCTCCTTTATTCAGTAAGCTGCTGCCGAACACTTTTAAATTGCCCGGTTTCTGACTTCAAGGCACTAGAACTACAGCTTTCCTTGCTCTTGAGCTCTAGACCTCAGAGTTTAGAAGCTGATGCTGTTCTGTGAACTCATGCAGTGTGATGTGGAAGACCTGTAATGGAAATGTCAGCAAAGCTCCGTTGCTTGCAGATACAATTCACTTTTGGGAGCTGTTTGTCCTTGAACAGTGGTTGATTTTGGTCGCCTAATTCTGAAAGAACATGGTGTTTGCACAGGAATAGATGCAACTTTCTGAGAAATCTTTAAAATTGTCTGGCTTTCCTTTCTGTTTTTTTTTTTTTTTTTTTGTACAGGGAATCGAACTCAGGACCTTGTGCTTACCAGGCAGGCATTTATGCTGCTGAGCTATATCCCCGGCCCTCTGTTATTATTTTTGAGATGTGGTCTCGTTATGTAATTCAGGCTGGCCTTGAATTCACTATGTAGCCCAGGCTGGCCTCAAATTCATGGTGATCCTCCTGCCTCAGCCTCCTAAGTGCTGGGATATAGAGGTGTGCCACACCCAGCCATCTGTCTTCCTCTGGTGTGCTTATTAACACAGCTTTGCTGGTGTATCTTTTTTGCTATTTCTCTGTCTAGTGTATGATATTTACATCTATTTCCAAAATGTGTGAAAAACTAATTTTACCGCTTAATGTCTCCAAATCACTACTAATAAAATCACTTTTTCAAACCAGCATGGTGGCACACACGTGTAATCCCAGCACTCAGCACTCAGACCAGCCTGGGCTACAAAGTGAGCTGAAGGCCAGCCTGAACTGCATAGCAAGACCCTGTCTCAAAAAGGCCAAAAAAAAAAATCACTTTTTCAGCAAGAGAGAACAAAAATAAAATTTTTACCCGAGAAAAAATTGAAAATGCTATTTGAAGGATAATTTAATTACATTTCTAGGTATATAATACATAGAAAGGAGAGGTATTTATATTGTAAAGTTAAAATTTGGGGCTGTAGATAATGCTTCCTGAAGAATTGTCCCCAAAGTATGTGTTTGTTTTTCTCTGTTGGGGATGGACCAGGACCTTGCCTGTGCATGTGAGGCCAGTGCCCTGGCACTGAACTGCATTTCTACCCTGGAATGAGGTTCTTAAAGGCTGCATGCTGGGCTGATTGGCGGGAAGCTGTTCAGTTCCAGCTTTTATTTCCGGTGTTTATGATCCTTGTGAAACTGCTACTTAATGTCATACTTGTTTTAATCAAAATCTCCCCCTAAAAGTAGAACATAATTTTACATTAAAAAAAAGTAAAAGAATTTCACCTACAAGCAAGTCAGAGAAAAACTTTAATGTGCTGACAACTGTAGTGCTGGTATTTTTGTTAAGTTCTTAAATCAGTATTTAAACAATTTATGATCTTCACCCAATAATATAAAGAGGATTTCTTTTTCACTTTGTACTTTTTACTATAAAATACTATTGCTGCATTACATTTTACTGGTTTATAACTTTTTTTTGGTTTTTTTGAGACAAGAGACAAGGTCTCCCTATGCAGTTCAGGCTGGCCTTGAGCTCACTTTGTAGCCCAGGCCGGCCTCGAACTAGCAACGATCCTCCTACCTCAGCCATCTGAGTGCTGGGATTACAGGCGTGTGCCATCACGCTTAGCTGGTTTATAGCCTTGGATGGTTCATTAATAAGTTGTCTTGTTTCAATATACTTTACTTAGCACATAAATTATTTCAAATAAATAAATAACTAAGCATTTAAATTGAAAAAAGTGATTTAAATGAATCTCTAAACCAGAATATTTATTTGAGAACATTATTTCATTTCAAATGTTTTAAAATTCCAAAAAATACCCTAAAGATAAGAAATCAAAATGTATAAGTAAATTGTTTTATAATTCAGAAAAATAGCATAGGCTTTTTAATTAATAGCATGACTATAACTCAGAGAAATAAATACTAGCATTTTATAAGTGATTATATCTCATGTTTGGGTAATAGTCTAATATTTAGAATAGTAAGCTTATAATTTATCATAATTTCTAATTGTATCATCATCATTCAGTCAACAAAAATATTTCAAGTAATTTATGTGCTAACCTTTATTCTAGGTGGTAGATACACAGTGGTGAATGAAGTGAAATCATTGCTCTTGTGAACCTTGATTCTGGTGATCAGCGGAAAGGGAGTATGTCAGATAGGAATGCAGAGAGGAAAAAGAAAAGCAACACAAAGCGAGAAGTGGAGTGACGCAGAGTGTGCGTGGGGTCAGTTGAGGGACTCAGCATGTTCATGGAATCAGGAGAGGTATCTGGTGAATTACATCTGAGCAGAGGCCGAAGGGCAAAAGTCATGAGAAATATAGGGAAGACTGTAAAGTGATTCTGCATGACGTGAATAGCAAGAGCAGAGTGTCACGGGGAGATGTGCTTTGTGTGTTTGAGGAACAGTGCACAGACTGGCATAGCTGCAGCGCAGGGCGACGGGAAAATGCTTAGAAAATGAAGTAAACAATGTGGTCTGCAATATGATCACCTCGGGCTTTGGGGTCCATGGTGAAGACTTGGCTTTTGTCCTAAATAGAAAGGCCTTGGATGGTTTTAAGACTTGACATAATATAATTTACATTTTAAAACATAATTCTGAGGAGAACCTGATGGCTTTGGGAAAAGTAGTCAGTAGAGAATCAGAACAGAACAGGATAGGGGTTAGGAGACCACTGAAGTAACCCAGCGGTGAGACTGCAGCTTTGGCTGAAGTGTTGTTTGCAGGAGTGATAAAAAGTTGTCAGATTCTGGGTATAATTTTTAAGGTTTTCAATTCAGATTTTTAAACATAGAGAAGGAGGGGCTGGGGATTTAGCTCAGCGGCAAAAGCATCTGCCTGGCAAGCACAAGGTCGTGAGTTCAGTTCCCGGTACCGGAGAAAAACCAAAACCAAAAAAAAAAAAAAACAAAAAAAACATAGAGAAGGTTTTAAAGTCCGTGAATTTGTCTGTGTTGATTAATGTTTCTAAACTTTTTCTCATCTAATGTCTGATTATATATAAGAATGCACCTTTAATATATGTATTAGGTATATTCACATATACCTAAGAGATGCAATGGTCTGTTATATAAGCAAGTAAAGGGAAGGTAGTTTATAAGATAGTCACATGTATTTCAGTGTGTAAATACTCAAATACATCTAAAATGCTTGTTAGAGCCTGCTTGCATACATGGAATAATGTGCAAGCGACAAAGGAAGACATGCTGGGATGTCATGTTAGCAGCTCCAATACCCGAAATGCATAAATGGTGTTGCTATTGTTAATTTTCCAAAATGGTGCGAAATTTATAATAAAAATCTAAGAAAAACAGAACTGTATTCTTGGTTTACAAGACTGTTACTATCTTTTGGTGCCAGGAATCAAATAGGACCTTACATCTGCCAGGTAGGTACTGTATCGCTGAGCTATATCCCTCGCCAGATTGTTACATTCTTGAAAAATTTAATGAGTACTAAATTGATGCAACAAATATTTTGTGTTTGTATATGCACAAGTTCAGGAAGTAAAAAGCATGAATATTCCCCGCATACATGTCTGTTAGGGATTTTCTGCAGGTTTCGGGGCACTGGGTATGTTATTATTTTGCATCTGCGTATTGCTCAAGTGTAGCTTCTTGTGGTGCTGTGTGTCCCCTACTATTACGTCAGCTAAAATTGCTTGCAGTCTCCAAATTTTCCAATTGCTCTTGAATGGCCGTGTAGCTCCTCATTAAAAATACTTGCATGGTTAAAGGAAAAGGTCCAGGGTCCAAGCCCAGGGGCTTTGCATTAGAAGTTGAGGAGAGGAGGATACAGCTACAGTGGCTAAAAAGGAACTGCGAGAACGTAGAAAACAAAGCAAGTGGGAACCTGGTCTTGGAGGCTGCTAGGAACCGGAAGGCATCCAGCAAGGGGCTCTTGTTTGGCCATGTTAAGGACAAAATGTTAACCAATTTTAAGTGTGTTACTGAATTTGCTTTACTTTTAAGGTAGCTTCTCCTTTGCTGTAGTGGTGTTTCATGTCCCTGTTGTTTGGGCTCTGTTACTGATTGGTAAGTGAAGAGTTTGTATCCTGCGGGCTACAGTTTCTGTGAGACCGTTGCTGCAATACTTCTTCAAACTGCCTTTCTAGGAGGATTTTTCTTATTGTTTACCCTCACTTGCAACCATTTTTAAATACCCAAACTATGTTCAAAATTGGAAAATATTTATTTAACTTTATGTGTGTGTTTTCTTAAGGTTTCAATTATTTTTGGATTTTGAAATAAATAATTTGTGAACAGAATACTGAGCAGAATATTGGACTAGTCTGATTTCTCTTAGTTTATAGTAACAACTAATGTACATAATTGAGTCCATATGTACACTATCAAACAATTGCAGAGGGGTTGGGGATTTAGCTCAGTGGCAAAAGCGCCTGCCTGGCAAGCGCAAGGTCGTGAGTTCAGTTCCTGGTACCGGAGAAAAACCAAAAAAAAAGAAAAATCAAACAATTGCAGAATAAGAACACTTAACCTTTTCCTTAGAGTGGCTCACTTTTCTTTTAAAAACTGTCAATGTTATGGCATACTGCTATTGGTTACATTATTATTGAATATTTAAAATTAATATTTTTGATTTTAAAATTAAATGTAGATTTAATTTTTTAAAAATTTTTGATCAAATACTTTTACCTTAAAACATTTTTATCACATTATAGTTTGACTTCCCAAATGGGTTGGAACAAATCAATAATTATTATTATATCTAACTGATTATTTTAGAAAATAATTTTTTTTTAGAAAATAATTTCTTAAAATAATAGGATTTTTTAATACAGTCTTTCAAATATCATGTAGTGATGCCTAATTATTTGGTAATTTCTGTCTTTGTAGGTGTCTGTGGAAGAATTAAAAGATAGCATTAGTATTAAAATAGCTAAAGAAGCTGTGATGAATATAAATAAACCTGCAAACCTTTTTAAATCTACAAATGGATTTGTAGAAACCAAAATATACTTTTCAGGATTACCTCGGAAAGTGGAAGATGCACTCATTAGACCGGTAATGATCCAAGCTTATGTCATCCATCATGGATGACTTCCTTTTCTCTGTAATAGGTTTGAAGATGTGTTTTCCTGAGTGTCAGTAGGAGTTATTTTGGTAAGCACATCAAGTGTGACAACTTGAATTGAACATGGAAAAATAACATTAGTGACCCTTGAAATTATATTAAGAAAATAAGAAAGTGGTTCTGTGTTTTTGTGCCCACTTAAATTCCCAGCATGACTCATGGAGAGGTGAATTTTTTTAAATTCTCAAGTGTCAGTTCATTGGTAGCATGCTTAGGCGTTAAATATGAACACATATGTTAGAATCTGATTTTTTTTGTAGAAACCAGTCAAAGGTCTTTCTCAGATCTATTTTAGGACTTAATTTTGGAGGTTAAGGGTTCCTTGGAAAGTGGATTTTTTAAAAATCAGATTTTTGGGTACATTTTAGATATACATGGTGATCACTATCAGCATAGAGAATCTGTACGTGTACATGATTTCACTTGTATTTTCTCCCATTCCTCTACCCTCCCTTCAACCCCACCTCTGCTCCCCATTTACAAAAGCTTTGTTTCCATGTTTTTCTTCTTTCCTGTCTCTTTTTTCCTTCTTTCCTTTCCTCCTCACCTCTCCCTTGTTCCCCTCCCCATTTGAACATTTTCTTCCTTTTTCATAATACCTATTATATGTTTTGATCCTTATTTACAGGAAAGTGTATTTTTTTAAACCAAGGCTATCATAAATTGAAGTTAGATATAATAGATGTTTTACTGAATAAGATATTTGTCAAATAAGTGTGGAACAGGTTTCATGAAAGAAGCAGTCATTGTATAACAGTTTTAAAAATTTTATTTACCGGGCTGGGGATTTAGCTCAGCGGCAAAAGCGCCTGCCTGGCAAGCGCAAGGTCATGAGTTTGGTTCCCGGTACCGGAGAAAAACCAAGAAAAAAAAAAATTTTATTTACCAAATAAACTTGTTGTTTTAAGTTAAATATTTACTACTTTATATCCATCTTTTGTTCACGGCAATTCATAGTTCCTTTAGCTTTGAAAGATTTCTCTGATATGTGTCTCAGTTACTTTCTCATTGCTAAGACAAAATACCCATCACAACATAAAGGAGGAGATGTTTATTTTAACTTACAGTTTAAAGCTAGAGAAGTTATTCAAGTGAGTCAATCATTTATGAAATGGTTACCATCTTGAGTGCTAGAGAATGTAAACATTTTTGTTCCTGAAGAGAATTAGAATCTGTTAGCAAAATGAGCCTGTGTTGTAAATGCAAATGCAGCAGAGCAGAAAGCAGCTTAGAACGCCCCGCCTTCCTGGAGGCATACATAGAACTTAGTTCCAGGTGACACAGAGAGGCAAGTGAGACTCGGATGTGAGAAAGTAAGAGGATCCCACTGAAGGACTGCAAAGGCACAAACTGACTTTTGCTGGAAAAGACTGTCCATCTCAAGGGCACATCAATAGCAAAAATTCAGCTTAAATTCAAGATATTTGAAATATTTTAAAATGTCATCAAAGGATCTTCCATCTATTTTTTTTTTTGTACCAGGAATTGAACTCAGGACCTTGTGCTTGCCAGGCAAGTGCTTGGGTCTTCCATCTAAATGAAACCTATACCTAGAATCAATTAAGCTCTTTATCACTTTGACTTGTATAAGTTTAAAACGCACTTCTTGACCTGTTAGATTAACCCTCGTCTGGATGGATGCATACGAAGCTGGAATTTGATGAATCAAGGGACTTTAGGAGCAAAGGAAATTATTCAAGAAAAACAAAATAAGCATTGCCTTGTCACTGTGGAGAAGGGCTCCTATTATCCAGGATCTGGAATTGCTCGCTTTAGCATAGATTATAGTAAGTGATTTCCCATTTTCTCTTTACTCATTAATGATTAAATTATTCAATGACAAATAGCAATAATTTATTCAGTAAACATTATCAAGTATATGCTATGTGCCAGGCATGATTGGTATATTAGACAAACTATAAAGGCAGTTAAATATGTTTATGTTAGTATTTAAAGTTTGGTGCTACATCTCCTGATTCAGTTGACCTATTGTAATTTTTACTGATTTCTTAGTTTTGAGTCCACCAACTATTGCCTGAAGGGGATTCATCTGCATTTCTAACTTTTCCATTGGACCTTTTCTTAAAATTTCTGCTTCATCTGTTCCTACATATTGTTCAACTTGTCTGCCTGAGCTTTCAGTGTATTCATCATAGTTATTTTAAATTTCCTATCTAAAGTCCCAAGATCTGTATCAGTTCTGAGCATGGTCATGCTGAATACTTTGTCTCTTGACTGTGTGTTATTGTTTCTTGTGTCCTTGTGTATAATGTGTTTTGGTTTAGAGCTTGGCATTTTACATAGAACAATAGAGACTGGTATAAAAACCATTTGTGCTGGAAGTGACCACATCTTGTCTTTTGCTCAACACGCAGTAGGGAGGGAGGGGGATTGAAGCCATCTGGTGAGGGATTGAGCCTTTATCTGGTGTAGTTATCAAGGAATGGATTCCCTGGTCTCCTTTCTCCCCACGAGATCTTCCCTCCCACGCACGTTCCTGCCACGGCCGTGCCTGCAAGAAGGCCCTTGCCACAGTTGCAGTGCCACTCAGACCTGCGGCCTCGAAAACTGGGAGCCAGATGAACTTTTTTTCTTGGTACATTGCTCTGCTGTAAGCATTTTTAATAGTGATGGGAGACATGCTAATATCAGTAAGTTTCTGCCTGGGGTAGGGGTTTGCTAGAGATTTTTAAACTAGTGGGTCAGCTGTTAAGTATTTCTTAGTAGCAACTCAGTTTTATACATTTCTTGTATGATATGTCTTAAGAATGGTCTCTGAGAGCATGTTCTTCCTCTCCTCCAGCAGAATATTCTTTTTTTTTTTTTTTCCGGTACTGGAAATCAAACTCTGGGCCTTGCGCTTGCCAGGCAGGTGCTTATGCCACTGAGCTATATCCCCAGCCTCCTGCAGAATATTCTTGTCACTTAACATTTGCCAACATGTCAGCGAGAGCCGGGAGGTGGAGGAAACAGCCTCTGTTGTTCCAGTATATTTAGTCTTGCGCAGTTGTCATAACCCTAGGGCTCAGAGGTAGTGACATTTCATCACCTTCATTGGTATGGAAATCCCACTGAGAGGTAGGGGGAATGTTTAATGGTTAGGATTTGAGATATATTCCTCCTCCATGGTAGACAAGTTTTCTTTCTTTTTTTTTTTTTTCCTGTTGTTTTCCCCAAATCTGTAGACTTACAGGATTTCCCCTGCTTACTTACACACAGTAGGCACTGTTGGTCTCCACATGTGTCCTAATGACCAGATTGGCCGCCTTCCCACAGTGCTTCGCGGCTCTGCTGTAGAGGAGACAGAGAGGGATCTGGGTAGGGTTTTGTGTCCTGCCTGGAGCTGGTGTTGCTCCTAGGACAGAGAATTTCCTTAGCTTTTTTTCTCTGCTCTGTTAAGGTCTGTGGAAAAGAGCTTGTGGATAAATATATGTGTCCCTCACGTCTGCAGTTGTTAGGGCTCCTATAATTTCCCACCTGCCCCTACGTGAACTTTTGCAACTTGTACTTTTTCATTATCCTTATCAAATTTCATGACATCTGGTGGCTGCCTCGTTCTGTCTCTCATCCTGTCTGTCTTTAGAAGCACTTGTCTTTCTTTAGGTTTCAGGTTTGTTGGTTGCTCAGAAACTATCAATTGAACTCTGATAGTTTAATAAAAATTGTGATCATGGCCAGGCCTGGTGGCACAGACCTCTAATCCCAGCACTCAGGAGGCTGAGGCAGGAGGACTATTGTGAGTTCGAGACCATCCTGGGCTACAAAGTGAGGTCAAGGCCAGCCTGAACTGTATAGCTAGACCTTGTCTCAAAAAGACAGTAAATAAGTAAATAAATACAAAATAAAAATTATGATCATATAGATAATTTGGCTTTCATTGAGTAAAGGTGGGATTGGTGATCTTCCCAGTTTTCTATAGAAATGCTATAGAAAGTGAAGCAGGAAGTCTTGTCAGACTGTCTCAGTTTTACCTTTACACATAATACTTCTGTAAACATTGTGGAGATTATATCTTGGTACTTTTATGCAATTAATTCAGAAAGAAAGGCTCTCAGATTATCTCAACCAAAGGTCATGCAAATATATACAGAGTCCACCAAAAAATATATACCTACTCTTCAGGAAAACAAAAAGCTTTTATAGGGTGCACATTCTCCTGACTTAACTCCTGCAGACTTTATCTGTAAGGGACCCTAAAAGATGTTGCATGTTGTAGAAAGCCCACTACCCTGCTGGCCTTTAGGGAAGAAATTGAAAAATGCATGTGTAGCAGTCTCAATGGACGCTTTGACCAAGATTACCCAAGTAGCAGTTCGCTTCGGTACTCATAAATGCATGGGAGCTGACGGCCAGCACTTTGAGCACCTCTTGAAATGTAGAAGCCAAAGGTAACTTGTGTTAATTTCATGGTGTTTCAATAAACTTAGTATTATAATACTTACATAATTTTTTTTTCCTGAAGTGTGCACACATTTTTTGGTGGACTCTGTATAGTTGTAAGATATATTATATTCTCTTCCAAAGATCCTTTTATCAATTAATACTTCTACCAACAGAAGGAGGAAGTTTATGGTTCAACTTGTTTCCAATCCAGTAGTTCAAAAATTAAACTTTGTAGTTTTAAACATTATTTTCCTAATTTCTGCTGAGATACTTTTAAGCTGTTTATACATTTTAATTACTTTTTGAATTCTTTATCTTTTTCTTTGTTGTGTGTTTATTATTCAAGCTACTAACACTTTGCATTATAAATTAAGTTAGTGCACATCTGATATCTCTGCTTTTGGAAAAATGATATTTTGAGTGTATTTGTAGCTTTAAAAGTACTTACTATAGTTTTTATTTGTAGCTTTAAAAAGTATTTCCTACAGTTTTTATATGTTGCTTTAAAAAGTAATTAAGATTAAACTTCAGTCACTTGTAGGTAAAGGGATGCACCTCAAGACTATAATTTTAAATGAAGTAAGTCAGACACACAAGTTTAAACATTGCATTGTTTCTCCTGTGTGAGAAACCCTGAGGGTACACGGGGAGTAAAACGAAAGATAGACGCTGGGAGGTGGGAAGAACGTGCTCAGATGGAAGGGGAGCAAGAGGGCAGGAGGAGGAGGGGAAAAGGGATTGAAAAACAGGATGGAAAGAAAGAAGTGGAAGCAGAGCTTCTGTAAATGGAGAAGGGAAGAACGATTGAAGAGCGAGGAGGGGGTGGGAAAATAAAGAGGAATAAAGATATATATACAGGAACAAGTTCCCCATGATGAATCCGAGCACTGTGTATGGCAGATACTTATATTATACTTAAAAATTATTTCTATAAGTAACAAGTTTATTCATCAATAACTTCAAAGTGACCTACTTTATATTTAGTATTATAATTTCTATACATTTGCATATTCATTTTAATTTGAATTTGCTAATAGCTCGTGTTAAATTTATTTCATGGCGATTATATGTATTCTCTCCTTACTGGGAATTATAGGATTATAATGAGACATATAGTTCATTACAGGTGGCTAATGAAAGAACATCTTTCAAAGGAAAATTGTTTTCTCCATGGACAATCACCCAGACAAAGGTTCCAGGTGGTGTTTGGGCTTTGTTATGCTACTTCACATTAAGTAAGGAGAACTTCATTCAGACTGTGAACTGATAGTTTTGATTTAGTTGCAGTAGCTATTTGTGGAGCTTAATGATGGGGATACAGTTTGAAAGCCCACGTCATTATGTGATTTTTTTCATTATGTGAACATCGCAGGGTCCTTAAACTCAGCCTATTGTCAATGTCAGTAGGTTATATAACCTTATGGGCCTCTCATTTATATGTGATGCGTTACTGACGGAGCTGTCATTGTATGGTGCAGTGATACTCGCTAAACATGTTAGTTCCACAAATATTTATTGAGTGTCCACTCTGGAAACAAACGGATGATGGAGACATGCTCCTCTTTTAACATGCTCCTCTTTTAACTTGAGCTCCATTCTGATAGACAGCTAACCCACTAGTTGAGAAAACATGTGAAGTGTTATAACAAGAGAGTCACAGAACGAAAATTTCCATTGAACTTTTAAAAGTAATTGTTTGCTAGTGTTTCTGTGATATCAGACTCCCTGCTGGCCATGTGTGTGGGTCATATTTTCTTCTCATCTACTGTAGAATGACGAGTGAGGAGTACGGTAATGGCAGCTCTACTTGACATTTCTCTCCAGTATCACAGTACATTTGTTGCCCTTTCTTCTAAATGTGGTTTTAAAATACATTCACCCTAAGATTTGAACATTAATGAATATACAAGGAAAAAGCAAACTATTAAAGAGCAAATGGGGAATTCATAATACTTAACACTGAAGTCTAGAATTCTCTTCTAGGAAGAGCAGAAGTGGCGATTTCATTTGTATGTCTCTTATCTGCATTAAAAAAATCTTCAGTATTGTACAGGGTGTCTCTGGATATTCATTAGATTGTAGCTGATTTTCTGGTTCCCTTTGGGAGTCCCTGATTGTGCTTCTGTTTCATTGTTTCAAACAGATAACAAAACTAATGCGGAGGGCTGGCAAGTCAATCTGACCTTGACTATTCGCCCATCTGAGGGCACAGGGGTGATGTTTGCCTTGGTTTCAGGTGACACGGTGCCTTTTGCTATGGCATTGGTGGACTCCAGCTCTAGAAAATCTCAGGTAAATTTACTCTAAATCCATAACCTATATAGCTCTGTGTGTGTGGGTTAAAATAGGATTATATCTACCTTGAAGGAATATTTTGAAGGTTTAATGACGCAACTGTACAAAGTGTTTGGTGTAATCTCCAGCATTAATGTTCATTCCTACTACTGCTTATGTTATTACTTCCGTCCAAGGTCTGAAAGAAGTGAGGGAAGTGGAAACTCAGAGACATAGTGCATCTAAAGCTGCGATGAGGCATATTTACAGAATACATAGAGATCCACTTTTATTCACAGTCCTTGCAGGATTGTGGGATTATTCTGTGCTAACAAAATAAAAGTGAGTGTGATAGCAATCTACTCTCAGGTATTTGGTGTTTAATTATAATGGTTTTCACTTTCTCTCACTCTTAGTTTTTTTCTCACCTTAATAAATTAGGAGAGAGAAAACTAAATTGGTGTACTTGAATTCTTGCTGGCAACTCTTGTTATAAATGAGGAGGAAGAACAGGAAAGTCTTGGATGCAAGGAAACATGAACGCTATCAGAAGATCTATGTTATTCAGTCTTCTGTTAGAGGCTGTTCTGTCTGTGTGTCATCCACAGTGGACTCCAACAAGTATCAGCAGGCTGCCTGTGTTTATGCCCAGGTTTCCTTGGAAGCTGTCAGAAAGAGACATATAGCTGAGTAAAGCCTACAGTAATAAAAAAAAAAAAAAGAAGGGCATTCTGGGTGCGATCTAGAGGATGATTTGGATGATCTGGTTCTTAAACCTGAGCAACTGAAGAGTTTCTGCTGTTGTTGCTATTGTTGTTAACCTCCAATCTACTCAGATCTTACTTCACTTGGATTTCAGGGGGTTTTTTTTGCTTGCTTTTTTTTTTTTTAAACAGATGGGATTCCTATCTTCAATATGACATTCCTACAGTTGAAAGAATTAAATCTTGCTTATGATTAATACAGTATTAGAAGTTTTTTCATTTAAACTTAGAGGCCCTATCATACAGTATATTTTAAGTTCAGTTTTTGATTTTGAAGCTCAGAAGTCCCCCAAATGGCTGTACTAGTATTATTTGCTTATGCTAGGTGTCTGCTCTACCCTTCAGGATATTATAGTGTCTGTTGGAGATACAGTAGTGAGTCGAGTAGAAGCTGTACGTCTGTGCTCCAGTCAACAATCTCATGTGGTACTCGGAGTCAACAGAAATAACCTGGAGCTGTGGACTTCACTTAAAGAAGATATAATTTTTTCTGAAGACCTTCAAAGGCGGCTCGCCATCTTGGATGAAGCAATGAAAGGACCAGTGGCCACTTACCTGGGTGGCATCCCAGGTACACTCTGAGTTTTTCTTCAGTTTAGGAAGTATATTTTAAATCAAATTTATATTTTAAATATAGAATTTTAATAAAGAACTATCAGAGGGGAAGACAGCATTCCAGTGTCCATTATTAATTTTCTAGATGCTTGGACTGACATTGTATTGGTATATTTTGGTTTTGTTCTTGTTTTTTCTTTCAATTTTTAAAAAAACCTTTATTTGTGCTTCAAAGTTTAAAACCAGGACACTGGCTTGATAAGAAATCTGTTGAGAAAGGCTTTTCCAAGCGAAACAGACTTTAGACTCCCAAAAGAGTATATCCATGTCAATTTCAGTTTGTAATCATTGCAGTCTCTCCTGTACACAAGATTATGTCCTGACCACCTCAACTGGATTCTGAGTGTTCTTGTACTCTAACTCCGCTAACTGCCAAAGCTTTCCTACATGAAACCCAGAGAACTCTGCTGATTCTATCTTGGTGGTTTTATGGACATTAGAAGAAGTAGGCTGGCAAGATCCGGTCAGCATGGTTGGGAAATGACCTGCAAAGCAGTTCAGCGTTGTCTCATATCACAAATACCTGAGTGATACACTTCGGGGCCAGGCCCAAGTCTGGAGCCAGGACAGCCCCCACAGTGCAGCTACCAAAGGTCCTTTTTCAGCCTCAGAAACTGGGGCTGCAAATGTACTATTTTTGGAAATTTCATCATGAAGACCCTTCAGCTCAGCATCCCAAGATGATGAATTTTCATAACTCTTTTCAGAGTCCACAGCCAGCACGTTCAATCCTAAATGGACTTAGAGCAGCACGCGTGCGTGCAGTTGAATTTAACTTCAGAGCAGCATAAAGGCAGATAGACCCTTATACCCTCTCTGCTTTCTTGGACACCGCCCAGGTCCTGGCCTGACTGCACCCGTTACTTTTAAGCTCATCATCCTTGCAGATGCAGATAAAGGCCGGGTTTGGCATGGACGAGAACTGCCATGACTTCACATGAGGCTGACCTTGGAAAAGCTTATTCTTTTTTTAAATGGTGAACTGAAATTAATCAACTTTTGCTATATTTGGCTACCTCCGCTAGAAGGGATTTCATTCCGTTTCATCTTCACAATAGTCTTATCAGTTCAATATTGATTCTTAAACTTATTCATCAATTTGTCAAATATTTATTCACTCGTTATTTAACTCATCTATCATTTATTTAGTGTTTATTAAGAATTTATATCCTAGTTACTAGGGATAAAGTAAAAAGCAAATAGATACTATTCCTACAGTTCAGCTTTTACAGTCCAGTGGCAACCTAAAACAACTGATTAGGAAAAACCAAAATAACTAAAATTCTGATCACTTCTCTGAAGGGAAAGTGTGGATTGCTTTTAGAACTTGAAATATCAACTTGATTCAGTTGTGGAGGCCAGGAAAAATGACCTTAATAAGACACTAAACTACAAATCTGCTATTTGAAGGAGTAATTAAACTAGGTGTAGGAGCAGGGATCAGTGAGTATGGTAACTGCCCATGTGTAAGCAAAGGGGGAGGGGACGCACTTGAGAAACACGTGAGATGTCCATATGTGTAAAGCATGTCCCTCCAGGGACGTGGTTCTGCAGGGTGCGAGTTGGATGCTGAGTAGAGGGCTTGAAAACCTAGTTCAGGGTCATATTATGAAAGATATGTGAATCATTAAAATATTTTGGACAAGGAAGTTGCATTTCAATACTACAACTTAAAAAATTGGATAGAGAGGTCTGAGGCAAAAGTAGATACAAACCGAGATGTGAGGCTGCTGCACAATCAGATGAAGTAGTAATCAGAGCAGCAATAATCACACTAGCATCAACTGGTGCCTAGTGAAGAGTCTGGATACTATACCAAGTGCTTCAAACGTATCAACTAATCTTATTTTCAAAAGAGTGGGGAAGGTACTATTATCCCCCTTTTATAGATGAGAAAACCATGGGAGCTGTTGAATTAGGGTGAGGGCAGTGGAGACAGCACACACTGAGCAAATTAGCAATATAAGTGAGAAAATAAAAAGATTGATTGAAAGACAATATAATGATATAATGGTATAATAGTATAATGATGACACTTAGGTTTCTGGCATAAGCAATTGTACTGTGAGTATTCCCTTGATCAGAATGGGGGAAACTAGAGCAAAAGTGGCCCATCTTTAACTGAACATTGGAAACTGTGAAATTGGTGCCACCGTTTTACTTTGAATGGCAAAAAAGAGACAGAAAGTTACTTAGAAGCATTTTCCGGTACTATTTGCAGATTATGTTCATGGGGAAAATTCTGAGTTTCTAGTATCTTTCTGGACTTCTGGTAACCTTCATTATGTTGCATTAAGTGCTCAGGTTATTTTCCACATTTGTTATTTAATCAGGGTTTGGTGGGAATAGAAGTATATAAACTCCAAAAGTTAGAGAGAGAGAGGGAGAGAAAGAGAGAATTCAAGTAATTTCGGTTCACATGGTTAATTATTAGGAAGTATAACTGCAATTAAAGTAAGGAATTCTGTATGGAAGCCTGCCTGCTACCTTATTCACAAATTAGTGAAATCCAATTTTAGTAAATCAAAAAAACAGTGAAGGTGTTTAAATGATGTAGACAGTAACCTTTTAGGAATTCCAAGGCCTTGCGATAACATTAAAGAATGAATTCAAGGAATAAGAGTTGAGAGGAAAAGTGAGGAAAAATTGAGATAAACATATAAAGTAGGAGATGGGAAAATTGTTGATCTATAAAATGGACACATTAAATTGCAGGTTAAGAAGTAAAACATGGCAGAAATTCTGAGGAGTTTTTAAAATACTTTTTTAGTTTTGGGGAGGTTCATTTTTTTATTTTTTATTTTTTGAGACAGGGTCTTGCTATGTAGCCCAGACTGGCCTTGAACTCATGGGGATCCTCCTGCCTCAGCATCCCAAGTGCTGGGATTATAGGCATGCACCACCACGCCTGGCCTTTTTTAGTTTTAAGTGATATTGGTAGTTATATATTCTAGGCATAGGAGAATTTTTTTGTTTTTGTTTTTGAGACAGGGTCTTGCTCTGCAGTTCAGGCTGGCCTTGAGCTCACTTTGTAGCCCAGGCTGGTCTCGAACTCTCAACGATCTTGCTGCCTCAGCCTCCCGAGTGCTGGGATTACAGGCTTGCGACAGGAGAAGTTTTTAAAAATAGTAGCGTAATGGATAGTGTTTAGCTGAACCTGAAAGGTATTTTCAAGTGTGCTATAAGCTTATAGAAAAGTATGGACTTCATTGGCAAGTTAGAAGTCGTCTACTGGCAAATTAGAAATGGGAAAGTTGTAGTATATATTTTTTGGCATAAGGTACTAAGAAAGAATAAGAACTGATAAACATTCATTGTGAACATTTGTGAAGAGAAAATACCTAGCAAAAGAAGCAGGTAGAGAGAAGGGTATTTTAAAAATGAACCATAGTTCTAAGGAATCCAAGGTTCATGCTGTAGTATTAAGTTTTATAAGGAGAGTGAAAGGCCCAAGACCCCAAAATGACCCCATTCACTGAGTGGTTATTAAAATTGTTATTTTTATTTTTTTAGTACCAGGGATCAAACTCACGACCTCGGCCCTGCCAGGCAGGCGCTGTGCCACTAAAATGTAGCACTGAGCTACATCCCTGGCCCTAAAATTATTATTTTTAGAACAGTATTATTATTATTATTACATAATGTGAATCCTCCATTATGACTTGCTGTTTTTGTGTGTTCAACAAGAAGCTATTTCTTGGAAAATTTAAAATCTGCTTTCATTTTTAGTGATATAATAAAAGATAACAGTTATCATGACATTTAAAACATATTTCCTCTCCTTAATGGTTTGTACAGTTTTTCATTCTTACATCTGGTAATCTGAGCAATGTAGTTGAAAATGGCGATATGTAATGTAGCAACCACTGTTGATTTGTATTATTTTGTCTTGAGACCCTGTATCACTTTGAAGGTTCTTGCTTTGATTTGTTTATGTTTGTAATATTGGTATGCTACTACTGTTCTATTTTTTTGTTTGTTTGTTTCTCATTTACTACTCTCTTTAAAATAAAATATAAAAAAACACATTTCCAAGAAAATATAACTAGGAGTTGATAAAATGATTTAACAATGTTTAAACTTAAAAAGAAAATAATATATATTATTTTTATAATAAATGCAGAGTATCACAAGTTAGAATGTGCTCTTTTATACTTTGCTTTAAGGGTGCTTATTTATTTTCAGTTTGGATAGCACTGATTTTGTTTATAAAATCAGAGGAATCCATTATATATACTGAGTTCCATGCCAAGCATAATACTGTATGTGATAAAATATATACAGATAGATACATATGTGTGTATGTATGTGCGTACTGCTTACTGTGTATTAATTAAATAGAATTATACTGTTTGCTACTTTAACAGTTTGGTTGCAAATGGAAAGTCTGAACAATTCTGGTAACTCTAAGCATGTAAGATACTGAAAGACTTGGTCAAATATTCTGTTTTACAGACATCCCATTCAGTGCTACGCCAGTGAATGCCTTTTATAGCGGTTGCATGGAAGTGAACGTCAATGGTGTACAGTTGGATCTGGATGAAGCCATTTCTAAACATGATGATATTCGAGCTCACTCATGTCCATCAGTTTGGAAAGATACAAGCAGTTCTTAAGGCATCTTTTTTATCTGCTGATAATATTTCTTTTCAGAGTGTGATCCTAACTATGTTTCTATAATCGATTGAAGGGTTTACCTCAGTGGTGAGGTCCTTGATTATTTTTTGGTACTTTGAGCTTCTTGGAATTTTAAAAAGCTCCTATCAAGAAAAAAATTATGCTGTAATATTAAAAAATTCTTACTTTTGTTGCCGTTTAGAAATTAAATAAGGAAACAGAAATTTTAAATTTTAATGTTTTGCTGCCAAATGACATTGCTTTCGTCTTTATTTGAAAATGTAAATTTTAATTTCACCATCATTGGACTAGTATTTTAACTATCTGTTTTTCTCAGAAGGCAAATCGGTAAAACCAAACAAAATCTCATTGATTAAATACTGCTGATCATAGGCAGATTTTCTGTTGTGCTTGATGCTCCTCTTCTGTGATGAGGGCAGAGGAGATGGTGGGTTATTGAATGTGAACTGAGTGGAAGATTTTAAAGCTTTATTCCAAAATAATTTGTCAGGGGAAGCAACTTTGTCTTTTTGTCTTTCTCTTACGTGGCTTCACACTGCAACCAGTACCTTGGGTGGATTAGAAAATGACAGGGACACGTTGCCTTGAGAGCAGCACATGAGTCTGCTTCTGGGGAACTAGATCTATGAGGATGAGACATTTGGTTCCTTTGGAAAGGGCATGAAAATCTGGGTTGGGTACGTTCCTTAAGTTTGGCTGTGCGGGTCTCTCAAGCTCTGAAGTAGAAAAGGCAGCAGGGGTGGAAAGGAGAACCGACGACTGTTCACAGTTTCCTTCGATCCAGATTTCAACCACTGCAGTAAATCCCTTGAATATAATTTGTTGAGGAACAAAAGAATCTGTGGAAGCTAGAACAGACTTTTAACAGGAAGAGAACCACGGAGAGATACAGCAAATGCTGTGCTTTTTAGTCAGAGAAGGGGGAAGGTGAGACTGCAGCATACTTGTTGGCAGTGCAGGTGAAACGGCAGTATTTTCATGTCAGGTGTATATCAGATGCTTCACTGATCTTTTAGAAAATAAACTTTTTTTCACCACAGATACTTTAAATCACATAAAGTGTAATAAATTGATGTATATTTTAACGATGTGTGTGGGTACTATTTTATTCCATAGGAAGAATGTCTTTGTTCTAACAAAGCATAAGGTTATGTACCGTACTCTAACTTAAGGTCACAGTAGTTCTTAGCTGAAAGACATGCAGAGCTCAAGTATTTGATCACTACTTGTGACTGGTTGTGGAGTGGAGGAAATAAAAAGAAGAAAGGCAGAAATCATGCCAGGCCACCTTATGGGGTGGAAGTTTTCTCTCAGTTGCCTCCAGGTACTATGGGTGATGAAGACCAGCAGGTGACCGTTGAGAATTAGGTTATTGCAAAAAAAAAAAAAGGCAAGAAAGGATAAAAACTAAGGGGCATATGAGAAAAGGGAGAAAAGAGCAGAAGAAAGGAAAAAATTAATTTCCTTTGAGTTGGGTTTCTGGAATAGTAAATTACCTCTCTTTGTAGATCTCATGAACTTGCAGATTTTTATCTTCTTGCTAGAACAAGCCCTCTGTAAAGATAATCCTACTTGTAGTATAATAGCATAGTATAGTATAAAATAGTACAATAAAATCTGTGATTTACTAGGGCTGATCCTAGGATATTCTCTTTCCTGAAGTTTCAAACTCTGGCATCTGAAATCTGATTCTCTGGCTTGAGTGAGATGAGAAGGTGAACCAACATTTACCTGACATAGTAAGAATCCAGCACTGTCATCTGGAGTTCTGAATATTGAACATAGAACATTTAATTTAAATAAGGCCATGGGAGAACTGGGGGTGAGGTGGAAGGAATGGTAGAATGAGTATCTGCACTTCCTGGAGTCAACTCAGCATGTAGAACGGCCACCGTGGGCAAAGAGGCATGATCTTGGCCTGCTTTGTAGCTGGAGAGAGCAAGCTGCATAGCTAGGATTGAAAACCAGGATGGCTGGCTCAATAATCCGTGTCTAGGTTTGAAACTTACACTGTTTCTGTATTCTTACTGGTTATTCCAGTACTGAGTAAATGATATTATTGGCTGGTGTAAACAAGCGAGTACATGCCACAACTTACTGGATAGTACTCCGCCTGTTCATGTAATTGTCTGTCATTGAATCTCAGTTGATAATATTATTGCTTCAATGGCTTTGAAGATAAATGCGATATTATTCAATTGAATTATGCAGATGTCAACACTGACTCTGACTCATGTAACTACATGAGTACTCTGGGCTAGATACTGTCCTGGGAAAACAGTGGAAAAAATGTCCTACTCCAGTCTGTGTATTCACAATTTGGAAGACAGTGAAACATGAACAACTAATTCAAATAGGAGCCTGAGATGTGTAAGGGTATAACAGAGAATTAAACATTTGCGGAGAATTCTGGAAAGGGAGAAATGAATTCCAAATGGAAGCTTATCGAGGTGTTGTTTTAACTAGGACCAAAAAGATAGATGTGAGTTTCTATAGTTTCCCACATTTGTTCCTGTCCTTCCAGCACTATTCTTTCCAGTGCTTTCAGATTATCTTCTCACACAGATACCTTACTTTGTACTGTATTCATAAAAAAAATTTCCCTTCACGTCCAGTTGATTTTGTTGGTGGTGGTATGGGAACTGAGCCATACCACCTCACACTGAGCCGTACCACCTTCACACTGAGCTAGATCACTGGCCGTTTTTCATGTTATTTTGAGACAGGCTTTTGCAGTTTTCTAGGTTGGGTTCAACTTTATAATCCTCTTGCCCTAGCCTCTCAAATAGCTGCAATTACAGACCAGACTATATGCCACCATACCTGTCTTAATTTTATATTTTCAGGAAGAAAAATGCCACGGTTAGATTTGTATAAGCATCATGATCAGATTTTATCAACCTGCACTTCACAAGTGCAAGGATTATAGGACTCCTCCACCTCCAGTCTTGGCTTCTAATTGATTTTTGAGGAGGCACAAATAATTAATTCTGCTTCAAGGAATGTCGTTGTTAAGCCAGTAGAACTCTACCATGCTGCATATTAGATTCATTGAACCAGAAGGTTCTCCTGGAAAAATGAAAGTTACAAACCACAGATACAGCTTCTCTTATTCTATGCCTTCCTCCTCATGCTTCCTGAGCCCTATGCACGTGTGTGTATACACAAGCACATTTACATACAGGCCAGGCAGAAAGCAAAAGAAGTGAAAAGAAGATGAAAGAGGGATAAAGGAAAATTGTGGGTGTATTTGCATACAAAACCAGGAAGAGAGGCAAAACAGAAAGCATGAAAAAAATAGAAGATAGGAAATCATTCCAAAAAGACTGAGATACAAAATAAATAGGAAGAGGAAGAGAAGAAGTGGTACAAAAAGGTATTTGGAAGGAGCTTGCTGACATTGCACACGTCAGTGAAATCAGCCATTGAAATGATGCCATAGCTGCTTCCCTTAGTATGTGCTCATTATCTCCTTAAAAGGAGTTGCCTCAATTTCAGGCCTCCTGTTGACTTTGATACAGCTTAAAATATGTGCAATAATTATTACAGAAGCTTTATTTTTTTCTGTTAAAGCACTAAATTTTTAAAAACCTGCCCAGAGCTCACAATTTTGTGCTATTGAAAGTCTGTGGCAAAGGTATACCCCACTCAAATACCAGATTTTGTGGAATTCTTTCTCTCAGGTCAAGGCAATTCAAGCTGCTCTCACATTAACTGGTATCCAAGCCCTAATGTTTAAAATACCCTAGAAATGTTCAAAGCGACTAAGGATCTGCAGCTTTTACACACTCACGGTTTTTCATTCATCAGCCTATTCACAACACCTCTGTGCGAGGAGCACAGCATTCAGTCCTGTTTTCCTCCTTCATTTCCCTTCTTGCTTTCTAGGACTGATCTTCAAGCTTGCATGGCCTGATTACCAGAAAGCTACTAGAATAATAACTGGACTCTTCTTGGAGTGATTTTGGGAACTATGCAGCTAAATGTGTGATGACTTGTGAGAACACAAGTATTTTCTGTTTCTGAGGCTGAACTTCCTAAGATACTCAGTGAAGAAAAATAATTTGAATTATTGGATTTAAGTCTCTTACTTGTTTCATAATCATCACACTTCTCCACTTCAACTTTCTAATACAAAGAATGCAGTCACCATAAGGAGCAGTAACTGGAGGTATTGGGAAGGTAATGACAATTTATTCAACAATTATTTGAGGGTCCTACATGAAGTACCACACTACACAGTTTTGGACCCTTGGGCCACATGGCTGAACAAATCATAAATATGCATGTGACTATGTAAAAAAATTTTCATGGGGACAGAAGGAATCCTATAAGGCAAAAAGTGTCTTCAATGATCCCTCCTGAATTATGTGTTGATAGGTGTGTCACTCAACCTTCTGTTGTTGTGGCCACATATCTGATACACACAGCTTAGAAGGAGGAAATATTTATTTTGAGTCAAAGTTTCAGATACTTCAGTCCATGCTCCGTTGACTCTGTTGCTTTTGGGCCTGCAGGATGGCAGAACACCACGGTGGGGAGTTCGTCATGGAGTGAGGCTGCTCACTTTATGGCTTCCAGGAAGCAAGGAAAACAGAAAGAGAAAGTAGCCGTGGTCCCAACATCTCCTTCGAGGGCGTGGCACAAATGACCTCATTTTCACCTACCAGGTCCCACCTCCTAAAGCGTTTACCCCCTTCCAATAGTGCCACTGACGTGTGACCAAGCCTTCAACACATTTGGGGACACATTTATGATCCAAATAATAACAATAAACATTAATTTAATCAACCTTTACCTTAGTACACATCAGCTATTTTCCTGACAGATTCCAGGGTAACTTTACTGGTAGTGTTCAGATTTTTAAAGTATTCTGTTTGTATGGGATTTAAATAAAAACTTAATCACTGGGACCAATTGATATCACTTAGAAGTAATCTAATAAACTCTATATGGCTGGACATGCCTGCAATCTCAGCATACAAGAGGCTGAGGCAGGAGGATTGCCAAGAGTTTGAAGCCAGCCTGGGTGAGCCCAAGGCCAGCAAGAGACCCTATCTTAAAAAAAAAGTCACCATAAATTCTTTACTGATGCAGAATTCTCTGTTTGCCAAAGGCAACCACTTTTTCTTTGTTCAGTGGACTCTGAATTTTCAAGAAGCAGATGCTAAGAGGGTATTAGCTAGGTGGTACATACTGAACTGATTGAGTCACCCTCAAATTGATTTGTTGAAACTCTAAAATTTAAAGTGTCTATTTTGAAATAGACCTTTAAATGAGGTAATTAAGGTTAAATGAGATAATAAGAGTGCATGCCTAATCCAGCATAACTAACCTATTCAGAAGGAGAGGTACCAGGAACACTTGCATACAGAGGAAAGACGGGGTAAGGAGACAGACAGAACAAGTAGAGTGGCCTCTGGAGAAACTAAATAACCCAAAACCTGGGTCTTGAATTTCTTGTCTCCACAACTGTGAGGAAATCAATTTCTGTTAAGCCCTTAGTCCATGGTATCTTGTTATCAAAATCCTACCAAACTACCAGAAGAGGCAATAGATTTACTGGGAGAAATTCCCGTGAAAGAGAAAGGAGGAAGGCACAGGAAGGGGTAGAGAAAGTCTCAGGAAGCCCCATAGGTCTGGCCTCTGTGGAGGGAGAGAAGGAAGTAGGCTGGTCGGGTTTTAGATCTCAGGCCAGTTCTAAGAAGGCTTCAGCTTGGTTCAGAAGGAATTCTTGAAAAAAGTTGCCGGTATGAAGAGTCCTGTATTGAGCAGAAAGGGCCTGGCATAAGAACCTTCTCTGGGTCCCGTCATTGGCTGGGAAGCAGCCCAACTGGATCCAGGATAACAACTGGATTCCAGCAGCTGGTTCTCGGAAAGGTGGTCTGAGAGGAGCACTTTCCACCTCTGCTGTGGTCAGCGCCCTTAGAAAGCGCTCTTCCGAATTAAACCCGTAATTAGACACCTCATACTCCATGCAAAGTACTCCTTTGATATCGACAGTCAGTGTAAATAGGTTAGGATTCTATTTGTTGCAAGTACTACAAATTCAAATTGAGCTAAATTAAATGAAACAAAATTTTTG